TGGCACCAAGTGGCCTTTTTTAGCAGTGGGTCAACATTGTCATGTCTAATGGTGATGTATCTTCTAAACCTTTGAGATGGTTGTTAATGTATTTTAGGCAATGTTGATTTTCTCCTACAGTGTAGGATTTCCATTATTCCAACAGCGGGTACAGTTGTGTGGCCTGCTCTTTCAAACAGAAAGAGACATCAGAGTGTCTTCCTTCAGGTGAGACTAAAATGCCAGTAGTAAAACTAGTGAAAACTACCAAGTCTAAATAGTAAGTGTGTTCCTGTGAAGCATTGCCAAAGATGTAGAATGAGAGAAGATCTGACAGAAACCTCTTCTGAATAATAAGAGTGTTCATTCTGATTTTGAAGTACTGTAATATGAACTGTATATGTAAGATGCAAGGAGTGAAACTCCAATTTTAATGGATATGGTTTACATTAATATAATTTTAAGATGGAAATATAGTTTATCATAAGCTAAATTAAACTGAAAGATGTACGCAATTGGATTATGTTCTTGAGAAGGAACAGAAAGCTATTGTATTATATTTATGTACGGTATGTGCACTTATGTTTTACAATATGATATTGATAACAGTTTTAATGTAAGTTAATCATAAACTGCACTATAAGTAACTGGATCATTTTCTTATCTGTAACTGTTTGTCCTCAAATACTGAGCAAGAAAGAGGGTGGTTTTGTCTAATGTTCTGAAACTTAAATTTTCTGTATTAATAAAGATTACAGCAATATTACCCTGCTAATTCAATGCTATCCTGCCCTTCACCTGTTACATCACAAGAATAAATAGCTGCCTTAATGCAGTATTTGCTTTCATATTTCTATTGAGATTACCCAGGGGGAATGATAATAAATTGGGCTGAGACTGTGTGAGAGCTTAAGCTTCATTGATAATAAGTCTCAAACTTTAAAGTCACATGGGCACTTCTTGAAAATCCCATTTCCACTGTAAAACAGCACACTTTGCAGAGATCCTTTAGCAAATAAGTGAAATTCTAAATGTACAAAGTCCGCCAGGAATTCCCACTGAAGACTGTAGTGCTCTATGGGAAAGATGATTTTCAGTCTCCTTGGAATGAACAGGAAGTTTGATCGGTGTTTCCTTATTTCATGTAGAATGAATAAAATCATGTGCATGGTCAAATTGCCTCTTAGCTTTAGCTGTTACTGATTTGTACGCTGAAGAGTTGACTTTCAGCAGCATTCCTATTTCTGTGATCCCCAGCCCTTTTAAGTCTTGAGTTTTTAGTTCCTAAATTTTGTGGCATTTTAAATCATTCTGTCTGTCTGTTTCTTTAAAACAATGCTTAATTATTGGGACAACTAAATTCCATGATTCTCCTCCAACATAGGGAGAGCAAATAATTTCAGAGAGATTGGACAGAAATGCACATCACAGCCATCACTTCACATTTTAGATTATTTTGTATTTGCCTTGGATATATCTGTAAGGCAAAGCTACTTTTTCACAAGTATAAAATACAAAGTGAATCCAGGAATGCAGTGTTCCTTTTTTCAAATACTCATCTTCGTCAGGATAGGAATTAGTGTTTGCAAATGTCATATGTTGGAGGGAGATGAGCTTCAAACGCTCATCAGTGTTCAGTGCGAGTTTATTTGTACGTGATTGAAGCAGCAATTCTAAGGGAATAAGATAATTTTCATACCTCTCTAGGTTAAGGCTGTGATCTTGCAATAGATCTTGCAATAGGTTTGATGCATGTAGAAGAGGTAGTGCACAGTCAGCACAGGACTTAAGAAGAATCAGTGTGAGTGGTCAGGTATGGGATATGTAGCTCGTGCCTAGGCTCATACTGTTGCTTTAGTCCCTGGGTGCCTTGCCCAGCATTCACTGGCTGCGGTTCAAGAATGACTTGGGTCTCTTGAAG